GGGAGTGCAAATATTGTACTAGTTAATATTCAACATATGTATTTATTTTTAATGTCTGATTCTTATTCTCTCCTTGGTCTGGGAACTGTTTTAAAGAGAAGCCAATATGCAAATTTCTGAAAGCACCAAAAGATGGGGTCAGCTGATGCTTCAGAGAGCACTTGGACTTCAGTCCTGGTCTTGGTCCAAGTGACTAGGTAAACACGAAGTTTACTCCTATGAGCCCAGTACTTCCTTAAGGCAGAGAAGAACAACTCTCACTTATGCATGAAGGCAATGTGTTTTCCTTTTCGATGAGGAATGGCCACTGAATATTTTATTCATCCCTTGTGTCTTTCCTGTTGAGAACCTTTCATTTGAGTTAATGGGGAAAAGAAATGGCTACAGAGAATTCAGTTGATTTTAGATATCAGTTTAAATGATTTAACTTGATTTTTTTCCCCACAATGTCTTGCATATCCCTTCTATATAAGGATTTGTAAACTCCTGAAATCGTGAATAGGTTAAAAAAAAGAAAAGCATTAAATTTGAGAATTCTCAGCTTATTGTTTCCTTTTTTACAGGTACACCTGCTTATCTGGATGAAAAATTGGAGAAAATTATTTCCTTTGCAATCTTGGGATACCATAAAAATTCTCACTCAAAGGCAGCTTTAACTCAAACTTAAGCGGCTAGAATCTGCGATTTGTTACCTAAAATCTTCCAGTGTTCTCCACTCCCTATTTCTCAAGTGAACTAGACGTTCTTAGAGGTCAAAGGAAAAAACCATATGTAGATAGTGGAAAAATATTAAACATTCAGAGAATTTGTGCCTTTTTAGGAGAATATATTTTGAGTACAAGGGTGAATTTTGAGTGAAGATCCCAGAGGACATGAACAGCTTATATGGCAGAAAAAGCTCAGGTGGGCAATGAAATGGAATTATTGTCGTACTTTGTCCAGTTCATCTATGGGTTAGTGGGATACAGCACATAGTGTAACATTTATGGACAAAGGCTCCATCTCCAGCACACGATTTCCTCACTCATCCTATTGATCAGTTGTGTAGATCTATGGAATATTTTACTTATTTTAAGAGAAAGCAAACAAAACTGAGTCAAACATTTAGATATCAATCCTATCATGACCATGGAAAGGAAGGACTTAATGATGCAAAACAGATGGGCATGGCATCAAACCTGCTTCACCTGTGTTTTGAGAAAGCTTATACAAGTCAGAGGATAAATATATTCACATAGACTTTTCTTTGCTTCCTAGAAACTAAAATGCCTTTCCATGGACTGTGGGTGACAAATTTGCTTTCAAGTTTGGAAGGCAACCAGCTCCCTGGACATCACAGATGCCTTTGGGTGCAGGATCTAGCCCAGCCCACCTGAGGCAGGGAGTGCCCTCTGCCGGTTGGACCGCTCTCAACTCTTCCTCAGTGACAATCTCTCACCTGTTCACATAAGGGATCCGGGTTTGGATCCAGGAGGCGAACAGGCCTCTGTGTGTCTCTAACCTTGCCCTGGCAGCATGGGTTTGTCTGAGAGGGTGGCCAGGTCTGCAGAAAACCCTGCACAAAGGCTGTCACAGTCACAATCTTCATTCCAAAGAAAAATGACAGCAGGAAAACAAACTCAAACGCCAACAGGACAGTCTCCAAGTCATGCATATCATACACTGGCTTCTAGTTTTAAGGAACTGAAACCAATAGCATCTGACAACAGAGACAAAAGTACAATGAAGCTGCCTGCCTAAGACCTTCCTCATTCAGTTGACTACACTCAATATTGGAGACTCACAGAGGCCTGCCCCTCACCTGGAATTTATGGAGGTTATACATTCAACCCTGAAAAACTTTCCTTATTGCTGAGTGGTGTTATGTGACTAGTGTGGGCTGCTATTTAGTTTTGTTTACAGGCCTCAGCCTGGTTTGTTAACATACATGAGGTAGACAGTGTTTTTAGAATGAGAAATCTTATACTTTCTGTCCAAAGTAGAAGAGGAGTATTTTAAAGACTTTTTTCCTGACAGAGAATCAATTTTTAAGAGAGTTTTACATTTTCTGTAGATCTTAGGATAGTTGACTATGAGATAAGACAAGAATTAATAGAGACCTTTAAAAGTTCTCTAGTAAGTTCACAAAAGAGACAAATTCTTTCTGAAATTCATCCATCTTAAAGAATATTTTGTAAAAGGAGTTTCTGAAAACTTGATTTGTCATAAAAGAAAACACCACAGAATTCTCACTTTAATTCTTTTCCCCACAATTTATGGTTCCATTCTCAGGACTGATTTATTTGTTTCTTAAGACTTCTGTAAGAAAGTACTAGAGATCGATGGGCTAAAACAACAGAAAGGTATTCTGTCAGGACTGAAGACCTGAGGAATGAAACCAGGTATTGTCCAGGCTAGATCAGCTACCCTCTGAGGTGAAAGCACTCCTCACCTTTTTCCCCTTTCCTGAGCCCCAGGGTCTCCTTAACCATTGGCACCATAAGTCCAGTCACTGCATCTGTCTTCACATGGTCTCTTCTCTGGATCTCCGTCTTTGTGTCCTTTCTCCTCTCCTTAGAAGGCCACTTATATTAAAGGCCCACCATAGCACAGTGTGACCACATCATGATCACCAAAGTAAATCAATACTGGCTATTTTCTAAATAATGTCATGTTCAGAAGTCCTGGAGTCTAAAATGTCACTATAATTTTTAGGAGAACAGAATTCAACTAGTAATAGTATATAAAAGCAACTCTTACTTTAATAGATGCTAAAGGATTCATATAAAACTAGCATTAATATTTCTAATAGCTTCTTCACTTTGTTTTTTATTTGTTTGGTTTTCATTCAGGTGCTTGTCTTTTGACTTGGTTCACTGCATCATTAATTAGAGGGCTGGAATTTTCAGAATAGCAGCCTGCCACCTGCTAGAAACCCCTGTTTGTCTTGGTAGCTTAAGAAAGCAGGAATAAAACCCAGGATAATTTTTTTTGAAAAGACAAGATCAGAGAAAGCAAAAACTTAAAGAAGTATAAATAAATAAAAGGGTGAGTTACACTTTGGTGAACTATGGAACATATAAAATTCTTTATCTACCTCTACACCATGACTTTTTTGGAGTGAATGACATTATTACCATAAAGTTCAGAGTTGAAAGGCAAACATCATGTTTGCTCAGCTATCTTTTCCATGTTTTTCAAATTTTTATTCTTGAGTATTTCCCAGAGAATATAAAGACCAAATATTATTATGGAATCTTGCAGGATATTGTATTTGTTCATTTGTCTTGATTAGTTTAGTTTGATTTTGGATTTAAATTGCCCAAAGTCTAAGAAAGCAAAGTCTGCTTTTATAATTTACAAGATTCTGTTTTCAGGACAAAAGGAATTTGACATTGTCATTATTTTTCAGGAACCGTTCAATCCATCATGACCTGCATCAGGCTGACCCATGAGAATAGTCCTGTAGTTTCCCTATTTAATAAAAGCTGGTGTGATAGACTGATTCCCTGAGGACTGGTGGCCTGGGGCCCGATTCCATAGGAACCGGACTTAAATAAAAGCCCAGACAGGTGACAGTGATAGACACAGGCCACACTGAGACATTCAAATAAAGAATCCAGTCATTGCTCTTCTCACAAACACCATTGCCTTTTGAAATGTAGGCTCATGACTGTGGCTTCCAACATATAGGCAGTGAGAGCCTTAGTTTTTCACACAGAACTGACAAGAACCAGGAAATCCTATGGAAACTTGTTCTACTTGATGAGAAAGAGTTAACAGAGGAAGAATTCTCTTGAAGCACCACTGGGAAAAAAGAAAACACAGTCATACATTTTTCATGTTGTCCCATCATCTCAAGTGAACTTTTTCCTCAAGGACTTCTTGGACTATATATATATATATATACACATATACATATACACATATATATATATATGTGGCTTCCTGGTCGGGAAGATTCCCTGAAAAAAGAAATGACATCCCACTCCAGTATTTTTGCACGTGAAATCCCATGGACAGAGGAGCCTGGTGGGTGGCCTGCAGTCCTCGGTGTCTCAAAGAGTCTGATACATCTCAGCAACTAAAGAAAAACAGCAACACATATACATATAGATATATCAAGAGACAGACAGAAAGACAGAGAGAGACAGAAACAGAGACAAAGACAGACTCAGATAGAATTATGGTAGCATATGCACTGCTACTGCTGCTTCTAAGCCACTGCAGTCATGTCCGACTCTGTGCGACCCCATAGACGGCATCCCACCAGGCTCCCCTGTCCCTGGGATTCTCCAGGCAAGAATAATAGGTTGAAGCAACTGGGTTTTTGATATTTCATTTGATATTTCCTTTTACATAAAATTCTTACACATTTTTCCTTATCTTGAACTGAACTATCAACTTTCTCCACGAGCTATATGATTTTTCCCCCGTCAATTTCTTTTGACTTAAGTTTCTTTGAAATTTAATTCACTAGGTGCCAGGAAAAGACCAGTTCTAACAGCCGATTTCAAAATTCTTAAACAGGTAACTTGAGACTTGCAGTTATTGGAAAGATTTTGAACCAGCTCACCTTCACACTATTGTTTGGAGAAATTTCTAAAGGTCAGTACTAGCTGCTCTGTTATCTAGATCATCTGGGAAGAAAAGCAAGACGGTGGTCTGCTTCTGACTATTGACCCTGGACACACCTGTCTACATGTCAGGGTCTTCAGTGCTTTCTTAGAGCCCCAGGCCACATACACCGTGTCCTGACAGTCAATCTGCACTTTCTCAGTGAGATTCTTCTTCCCACTGTTTCAAGAAGTATGAACTTTAGCTAATGGTATTCACCTAAACACACAAGAGCTTTCTTTCAGTTTGCTTGAGTTTGACCCCGCCCACCCTCCCTCTGGCTCTGTCTACACTGCTGCCCCCACCATGAGATTTGCATGTTGTTCCCCAGGGAGGATCTTCCCCTGCAAGTCTGAGATAAAAGCTCAGCTCTGATCCTGCTCTGACTTATCAGGACTCCTCAGTTCAAACTTCTGAACATGAGGTTCCCTGCTCAGCTCCTGGGGCTCCTCCTGCTCTGGGTCCCAGGTAAGAACAGAGCGAGGATGAGAGGAGGATGGGGGCCTGTACTCTGCTCAGGACTGTGACAGAGGAAGTGGGGATGATGTAGGGGATGTTTAGCAGCTTCTTTACACTTCACGGATGTCAGGGTCATTATCGTGACTCTACATTTTTGTTGTATTGATGAAAAGTATTGATAATGAGAGCAAAAGAAAGTAGTGTTTTAGCTAACATAAATAAGAAATTGGAAAAAAAAAAGAAATTGGAAATGTTAATCAGAGCTCATAATATTTGTATGTTACTTGAAAATTTTCTGTCATTTCTTTTAGGATCCAGTGGGGATATTGTGCTGACCCAGACTCCACTCTCCCTGTCTTTCACCCCTGGAGAGACGGTCTCCATCTCCTGCAAGTCTACTCAGAGTCTGAAATATAGTGATGGAAAAACCTATTTGCGTTGGTTTCAACACAAACCAGGCCAATCACCACAGCTACTGATCTATCAGGTTTCCAACCGTTGCACTGGGGTCCCAGACAGGTTCACTGGCAGTGGGTCAGAGACAGATTTTACACTTACAATCAGCAGTGTGCAGGCTGAGGATGCTGGAGTCTATTACTGTTTTCAAGATTCATATGTTCCTCCCACAGTGATACAGCCCTGAACACAAACGTCCCTGCTTGGGTGGCTCCGCTGCTCAAAGTGCAGCTTCTCTGGGGAACTGACAGTGGATGTTCTGAGTCTGTGTAACAGGTAGCGATCTCAGGGGAAGAGTTTGCAGTGAGGGCTCTGGATCATGAGTGTCTTAGCTCTTCTTCAGGCACCACATGTTGAGGTCCCATGAGCTGCACAGCCTGGTCCTAGCAGAAGCAGCAGGCACTGGAGGGGTCCTGTGTCCTATAGCAGCCAGTTCTGTGAAAGGGGGCTGAGTGAAAGGTCAGGTATTTCTTCTCACCCAGGTTACCATTGTCTCATTGGGGTGATATGGAGGGAAGCTCAGGGAAAGAAACATAACAATGGTATTTACTCCCATCTGAGACAAAAAGGATGCAACCATGCATTCTTGTTCAGAATTTGACTTGTATTTAACAGTTGTATATATTTGGACATTTATTTAACCTTTTTTCCCTTGGTTTGCATGCATAATAAGTCACTTCAGCTGTGTCTGATTCTTAGTGACACCATGGACTGTACACTGCCATGCTCCTCTGTACATGGGACTTGCCAGGCAAGAATACTGGAATAAGTTGCCATTTCCTTCTCCAGGGGATCTACTCAACCCAGGGATCAAACCCAAATCTCTTCTATCTCCCCATTGGCAGGAGGGTTCTTTAACGCTAACGTCATCAGTAAAGCCCTTTTCCCTTGGTTTATTGATTGGTAATGAAGGAAAATAAAAGATTTTATTTTCTTTAGCAATAAAAATGCTAAGACTTGTTATAAGAATTAAATAAATGAATACATACGAAATAGTTATCATATGACCAGTAAAGTTTGTAAGTGAAAATGAAAAGTGAGCAGCAGTGTGAGTCACTCAGTCGTGGCTTTGCAATCCCATGGACTGTAGCCTGCCCGGGCCCTCTGTCCATGGAATTCTCCAGGTTTTCACTCAGTAAATACTTGTTTCCATTGTCAGTTTGCTTCATCTTGTACTTAGAGAGATACGGTTTTGCACAGTGTCTTTATTTCAAATAATTCCTTAGATTCTCTTTATCTTTGGTAAGTCCAACTTTGTTAAGTGGTGGAGTATCGTATTTTCTATAACCAACCAAGAAGTGTATAAGTTTCAGAAAAAAGGGATATATTTATTTGTTGTGTTTAGTTGCTCTGTGACACCATGCGCTACAGCCCACCAGGCTCTGTCCGTGGGATTTCCAAGGCAAGAATACTGGAGCAGTTTGCCATTCCCTGCTCGAGAGGATCTTCCTAACCTAGGGATTGAACCTGATCTCTTGCATTGGCAATGGCAAGCGGAGTCTTTATATAGACATCAGAGGGGCTCCAGGTAACAAGGAGTCAGACTCCATTGTTAATATTGGATCAGTGACACCTCTCAGCCTGTTCTCCTGCATCCACTTTGCCCTATATCTGTCCAACCACAGAGACACTCAAAACTCACAAACCCAAGCCCACACTAGGTGACTTTACCAAGTCCCTCTGCAACCCAAACTTCCACCTCTTTCAACCCAGCCTGCTCCAGCTAGTGCCCACCTTATTCCACCTGGAATTTCCTTATGTAAGTGATAATCTTTCTCTCAAATTATGTAGGTATGGGGACTGTCTGGAGACTCAAGAAAATTCTTAGTAATTAATTTCTATCTCATGTACAGGGAGGGCAAAGAGAGGAGGTACTTGACAAGTTGAGAAGTAGTGAAGCCGAGGGAAGGGAGCCCTATTCCTCTTTAATGACACTTAAACACATTTGCTATCTCACTAAGGGATCCTCAAAGCTAAACATTTTTAAGGGAAAATAAAGAGATGGTAGAGGCCTCAAAGCCAAGCACAGCTCTCAGTAATATCTGTGGTCAGAGGTAGAAATAAGGCTCCATGGGCACCAGAGAAGGTGGGATCCTGATTAGAACAAAGCCTTCAGGTAGAATGGGGGAAGGGCCACACCTGGGAGAGGAGATGAACCAGGAATAGCAAGGAATCACCAGGTTGAGGACCAGCCTCCAAGTCATGTCTCCCTGATTGGATGAAAGTGATCAACACCTAGCATTTTGCCAGATTCAAAAGTAAATCATTTCTGATTGACATAAATCATTCCAGGTTCTAAAATCACCTCTAACATTTTTAAGGTAAATATGCATGTTAATCTACATAAACATTAAGTGTATACATTACAGCCTCACTTTTATTAAAACACGGAGTTATACATTATCAAGAGGGAAGAATTGTTTCAGAGAAGGCAATAAACACACGTGGAATATAATGGACATCAAGATAGAGCCAGAGAATTCGATACTATGAGGGAAATTACTCATTATATGCTTACCACATATGTGACAGGATGTAGAATATTTTCATGAAACCAGAAACTTTTAAAAATAACCAAGAAGAATTAGGTACCTACATTAACAAGAGACTTGATTGAGCTTCTTCCAGTGCTTTGTTGTTTGGCATCTAGTCAGCAGACTAGGTTACAATTATATCATGCCCATGTCCTTAGGTTTATCTACATCCTAAGGACTGAGTGACTGAACTGACTGACTGACTGAAGGATATTTTAGTCATTGCTTAGGTTACAGGTACTTAAAACTAGAGAAAATTTATTCACAGAACTACATTCAGGTGAAAAAAAAACACCTGAATAAGCAACATCATTTTATTTTCCTTCACCACTACAGTTCCATGTTTGCACTCACACTAAGTGCCTTTCTTCCCCACTTTCCCGTGGGGCTGCTGTGCTGACACCACCTCCTCCCTCTGGCCTGTGGCCATGGAGGGAGCGTCTCCATCTCCTGAAGGCCATCGCATCTCATCCAGAGTAATGGACACACCTGCCCGCCATGCTTCCGGCACAAACCACATACTCTCCTCAACCACTGATCACAGGGGTTCCCCAGGCTCCTGGGGTCCCAGCCTGGCTCAGTGACTGTGGGTCTGGGACAGATTCACACTCACACTCACCAGGGTGGGGTCCCTGCACGTGACTTCTGTGCCCAGAACCCTCACTGGGACCACACGTGTCATGGCCCTAAACACACCCCTGCCCCGTGGGCTCAGCCCTTGTGCTCAGCTGAGCAGCTGCTTCCCCCAGGGAATCGGGGTCGGAGCAGCTGCTCCTCTCAGTGGAGCACAAGCTGGGGGAGGAGGGAATGGTGGGGAGCCCTGGAAGGAGGTGGGAACACCCTCAGGTCCAGAGCCCAGGAGGCCCTGTCATGAGCTCCCCAGGGTCTGGACCGCTGGCTGAGATGCTCACAGACGGCTCCATGCTGACTCTCGCTCAGCTCTCAGCATCACTAACTGTGAAGGACCGACCACCTGCTCTCCAGTCCCCTGGAGCACAGACCTTCCCCACACTGATGTACCTGCCAGACTCAGACACTTGCTCATAGACAAGGTTGGGGCCCCAGGGAGGGACTTTCTCAGTGGTTCTGAGAAAACTATCTTTCCCTCAGTCTCTCTGGCAGAAAATCCTAGTCTGGAAAATCTTAATCATCCTGATGTATATTCTCTTAAAATCTGAATATTATCCTCATATTAGAGACAGAATAAAAGAGAGACATTAGGAATATTAGAGACATGAGGAAATTTGAACTTCATGTAGTCACAGCTTCTAAGTTTGTTCAACTGAATCTGTTCTAGAATTTCCTGGCTTTGAATCATACTCATGCCTTTTCTCTGCTCCCTGCATCTCAGCGCCTGCTTCTGTCCTAGACTACCAGGACCTCAGGTTTCCCTGAAGGTAGACATCTTCTCCCCTAACTTTCAGAATGCCCGTGTTCTTGGTTGGAGTAGTCAGTGGTTTTCAAAGTGCAAGAGTCAGGCATTTGTAGGGTATGATGTATTTTATATTTTATCCAGATAGTGATATATGGAAACTTGCATGTGTTGTATACTTAACATATTTGCCTGTTCTTCCTGTATGTTTTTTAATGTCACAATTAAAATGAAAAGGAACAACCCAGAGTCTTTATTATTTTTTTTTTCATTTATTTTTATTAGTTGGAGGCTAATTACTTTACATCATTGCAGTGGGTTTTGTCATACATTGAAATGAATTAGCCATGGATTAACATGTATTCCCCATCCCGGTCCCCCCTCCCACCTCCCTCTCCACCCGATCCCTCTGGGTCTTCCCAGTGCACCAGGCCCGAGCACTTGTCTCATGCACCCAACCTGGGCTGGTGATCTGTTTCACCCTAGATAATATACGTGTTTCGATGCTGTTCTCTTGAAACATCCCACCCTCGCCTTCTCCCAGAGTCCACAAGTCTGTTCTATACATCGGAGTCTCTTTTTCTGTTTTGCATATAGGGTTATCGTTACCATCTTTCTAAATTCCATATATATGTGTTAGTATACTG